TGTACAATATTCTTATCGATAATAATAATAATAATAATAATAATAATAATAATAATAATAATAATAATAATAATAATATTATTATTATTATTATTATTATTATTATTATTATTATTAATACTATTATTGTTATTATTGTTATTTTTATTATTATTATTATTATTATTATTATTATTATTATTATTATTATTATTAATTTTTGTCAAATGACTGATGATGTTTGGTTTGTCGAAAATATAACTGGTGCAGAACTGACATCTGAACTGATAGGTGACAATGTCAGTCTTGAAATTCCTGCTATTGCAACTCCTAAATGGATGGTAATATTGACATTTTAGCAGTGTTGTTGTTTTGAACATTCTTGACAGCAGTGGGGAATGTGTGTTTCAGAAACACAAATAGCTTTAATCAAAATTTTCATATAGGTTTCGAATGTTTTGAGAATATTGAACAAATTCTTGAACGCTTAGCAGAAATTCTTCAGAATTCTAAAGGTAGACGAGTAACGATAACATTTAATATTTTTCTACATCAGTACAATACTGCATTTGACGTCATTGTCAGCCATCTTGGAACTTCTTCGGGATTCGAACTTGGATTCATTTAGGACATTTTAGCAATAGAACTTATAGATTTAGATTGAAGTTATATTACAATATATGCTTTTTGGCCTTCTCCCATGGCTTTCGGCGTGATCGTCGCGGAGAGTTGTAACAATATTTTATAAGTACAAAGTATGGTTATCGGCGTCATCGTCGTGGAGAGTTGTAACAATTTTTTATAAGTACTAAGTGTGGCTGGCTAATAGGATAGCCACTATTTCCTTCGTGTCTCCTTGCATTTCATGTGCTGCGTGGTAGTACCACTTCGGGTTTTTCAGTGTCTGAAAATGATTTGTCATTCTGTACAATGATTTGTCGTTCTGTACAACAATGATTTGTCATTCTGTACAACAATGATTTGTCATTCTGTACAATGATGATTTGTCATTCTGTACAACAATGATTTGTCATTCTGTACAATGATTTGTCATTCTGTACAACAATGATTTGTCATTCTGTACAACAATGATTTGTCGTTCTGTACAATAATTTGTCATTCTGTACAACAATGATTTGTCATTCTGTACAACAATGATTTGTCATTATGTACAACAATGATTTGTCATTATGTACAACAATGATTTCTCCAAAGTGCGTGTAGTTTGTGCGCAGTATGCAATCATTGCCGACTGACTAGACAAGGTGGTGTAATTCTTAAGAGATAAGATTGTGTTTCTTCCATCTCGGTGTTACGCCTGATTCTCTTGTTCCATTCCTCCGCTACCCATTGGTCTTTGCGCCACTTGCTAAGCGTAACGCTTGGAGATGCTGTCTACTGTAGATTTTCACTGCTCTTATTCGTGTTGCATTCAAATCTCCAGAATATTGTAATTGCGTGCGTAACAATATCTGCGTGAAGTTAGGATTCGGTTGCATGAAGCTTTACACCAAGAGTGGAATTTTTGCGGAGAGTTTTATGCACAAAGCGGACAATTATACGCACGAAGCGTACATGTTTACTCACCGGAAACGGATGCTTTCTTTGTGCAGTTTCCCATTTATAGTTATGTCCCATATGCAATTCTTGCTATTACCCTCTTCCCTCTATTCACTTAGCTAATGATGAATGTATATTGGACAGGTTTAGTTTTAAAAAAAAATACTGAGATAACAGAGTGGAAGTTCTTAAGGGACACCCCTGTACTATATTATTAGAACTTTATTTATTATGATAAGTGATATAAAGATTTGGGATTTAATTCACAATACTCGGAGTTCTTTTTAAATCTTCATTTTTTATTTTAGGGAATTAAATCATTTGTTGATTTTTTACTAAACTTGTTGGTTTTCACTCTTTCTGTTATAAAAACTTTTGGAATTGGAAAGCTGTTTCTGTTTTGATGATTGCTCTTCATGTACTTTTAACTTTATTTTATCTGCCTTCTTTTAAAGGTTGCCAAAGAGAAGAAAAATATAGCTTTATTACAAAGGTCCAAAGATATCATGAATCAGTTTTGCTTTATGCGCAAGACTGCTAGTAGCTATTCTTGGTGAGACTTATGTCTTTGTATTTGAAATATATATGTAAATGTTAGCTGTTGTATATTTTTGTATGTTATCACAGTTCATAATCCTAATATTAGTATATGTTTATTTTTTTTTCTCCATTAACTTTACATTGTAAGAAACGTTCAATATTCCCCGATATTAAAGACCTTCATACTGCACCCCGCGCGCTCAATTCAAAAGAACTATTTTCTAACGTAAACGATTTTTTTTATTAATCAACTAAAGCAGATATTTCATAGACTGCCACATACCAGCAATTGTTTCATAGATTGACATTTACAAACTGGTTTGGCACATTCCGCGTTTACTTTCTTGATTTTCAGATTTAGCTAGATATAAACGCTATACAGAGTATTCACAAAACCACGCAAGGTTACTGCATTCGTATGGAAAAATATGAATTCGTTTTGTCGGAAGGATATACTGCGCTCCCGAGGTCGTGCAGTATATCCATCCGAAAAACTCGTTCATGTTTTCCCATTGTCATATTTGTGTGTGTGTGTGTGTGTGTGAGTGTATATATATATATATATATATATATATATATATATATATATATATATATATATATATATATATATATATATATATATATATATACACATCACCAAATATAGTTATGTAGTCTATTAGAAGTACTTTATTTACAATGTAGAATACTGAAGGAACTTTGATACGACCAAATCTGCAATCCAACTTCATTAACCATTAGAGAAATCTAACTTTTGCTTGATGATATAAGTCAAGTTGGGGTCACCATTACAGGAGACCAGCTTTAGGTGCTATAAGGATTGATTGTGGCATTCTGGAGAAGTGTCTTCCATCACATCACCAAGACACATGAGTGGATCCTCTCACCCTCTGACATGGTCAAGGCATTAACAAATGCTACAATAACCTTTGTCGGAGAATTAAGAGCAGACAAAACATTGGATTGATCATAATAAGAACGCCAAAGTGCTGACAACTTTGGCACAGGTGATTCTTGACCAAAGGTTCCTAAACAAAGTGGAGCATTACTTTAATTTCAGGTATGCCATTTCACTATTCCAACAACTGCATGGTATTTAAAAGAAAAATATTAAGACCACTTTAAATGATTTTATTCATTTGTGTACATTATACATGTACAATGACTCTCCTTCTCCTTCTTCTTTCTTTCTTTCTTTCTTTCTTTCTTTCTTTCTTTCTTATAAACAATTTCATGACACTATCAGTAAAAATTTCAGTACAGATTTTATGTATGCAAAATTTACCAACAGTAATGATTATTTAATAACTATTAATCTGTTAGCAGATTACAAATGACACATGTTAAAAATACATGTTTTTGATAATTGCAAAAGCACTTCTGAGCTTGACGTTTTTCATCAGCAGATTCTGATGTTCTGTGCCAAGAGATTTTCATACATCTCTCTTGTTTACAGGATTAGGAATGAGCTAGTTGCTTTGGATAACAGTATCCATAGTGACAAATGTATAATATGAAACAAAGACGTAAGATGGTGTACGTTTGTCTCGCTACAGGAAATTAGAAATAATTTTATTTATTGATTGTACATTATGATCCCAGCTTGGACATAGAATAGTCAATAGAATATTATTCATGTTACTGTACAAGTCATGAAAACTTTGTATTAAATGCAAGTGATTTTGTAACAAGCGGCACACATTTTTAATTTTTGTGGTAAGGAATCTTAATATTTTCATGCATACAGATCTTGTAATTAGTATTGTTATCATACTAATGGATATTCATTTTGATTTGAGCAATGCAAGTCTAATAATTAGATCCAATGATAGGTATAGCACTTTGCCAGGTGACTGGCATGCTTTATTAACAATATACAGGGTTCATGGAATTTCCTCAGAAGGTTTTGGGAAGATACTATCATCACGATGATTACTAGCTAATACCTCTTCCAAAAAATGTTGCCTTCTGAAGCCATGGACAAAATACATCCTGTCTCCCATTGTAGTACTTGGTATAGAAATCAAATGAGAACAAAACAACCCCCTGAACAACGCCTTTTTGGGAACCGGTCATGAGGCTCTAAGATGGAGGGTCAAAGTTAATTTGGGTTAGATGCTTGTCACATAAGTTAAGAAAATAAAATTTTCTTTAAAAGAGGTATCATCAATGTTACATCAAAAAGTGGCGTCTATCCTTGCAAGGAAAAGAAAACATATCCCCACATCATGGAGCTTATACAAAAAGTCCTCATCGGCCAACTTGAGGGTCTCTTTGTCCCTGCGTAACGGTTTATTGTAGCCTTAACAGTGACATATATTGTCATTGTGGTTAGCATTTGATTTGGTTTCAGTGAGTCTTAAAACATGTATATTATTTTCCTTAAAAGACAACATTAACTTAATCGGGTCTATTTTCCTCAATATCACTTGTACATTTACTGATCTATGTTTAAATCTTTTCTATTCAGTTTAATATCAATTATATATATGTCGTCGTGCAGTGGGGGTACTCTATAAAATTGTCTCAATACTAGTTTTATCAATTTGGTTTTATATAAGGTGGCCGTATAAATGAGGTTACCTCTGCATGGTCTTTCTTTATCAAATGTTACTGGGGTGGGGTGGGGTGGGGTGGAGAGGGGTGGTATGGGTGGGGTTGGGTGGGGAGTAGCAACACAACGAAAAGCAGTTGCTGTGATTGTTATGTGATGTGATGTGATGTGATTATAATTTATAACGTAGCTTTAACAATTTCAGTCAAATCGCTACGATGTCTAGCACTGGGCAATCATACCGGAGATATGTCCTACACAGTCACATTATCTTGACACCAGGCTGACCAGTTCTAACACTAACCTCTTAATGCTGAGTGACAAGCAAGGAAGCTGTTGGTACCATTTTTGTAAGTCTTTGGTATGATTCGACCGGGGATCAAACCTACGACCTCCCGTTTCCAAGGCGGACGCTCTAACCACTAGGCCACCGAAGCGGTTTATAAAGCAGTTGAAACATACCTACTTTGGTGAAATAAACAATCCTACAAGTATTATTAGTCTTTGCAAAGTACCTAACATTTTTCAATATGTATCAATACCTGTTTTGCAAGATATAAATAAACAATTTCCCTCATTCTTGTCTGCCTTGCTTTTACTATGTGAAGAACTTGGTCGGCTGTTTTCAGGCTGCACAACAAGTCTCCATACTCCTCCCCTCTGATTCTTGCTCCATGTTTCGTCCCTAAAGGTCGCTCTGGACTTGAGCTTGAAATTGAGCTGATCTCAGTTTGGGTAATAACAAAATTTCTCCAATTTATCATTCAATGTGTATATTCTCTAATACACATTATAATTATAATTGCTACTGTGGTCCAGTTGTCTCTCTAACGAATTTTAATATATAAAAGTATTAATACATGCCAGGTTGTGATTTGATGGAAGTTTTCTGGGCTGGATCAGGCAAAGAGTAGGGTTCCCACTTTCCTCAAATGGGGACCAAAGCAGTATCTATTTACTCAGTGTGCATAATACCCAATAAACATGTGCAAGACAAGTGCCTGTACATTTGTGTGTACTTTGTATGATCTGGTCTAAGATTCCATACTACAGTCGTAGATTTTAATATAACTTTTTTAAAACCTTGTCTATGTAATGTATCAACTTGGAGAAGCAGAACACGAATTATTTTCCACTTTGTTTAAAACGCCAGACAGATGAGTGTTAGGGGTCCACTGGTGACGATCTGGTTATAATGGATAAATAGATCAATGAAATTACACAGTTTTGAGCATTTTTAAATATCCTAGATGTTTTTCGTTTATAAAATTGAGTGTTAGGGACGTGTGGGAGTGCCAATACTATGTAATAAATCGAGTATATGTGGATTTTTGCAATACTGTACAAAGCATGTCAATTTAAATCATTTTCATACCACAAATCTTTTAAATATAACAAAAGAAGTAGTTCTACATACATTTCAATGTTTCCTCTCAAAATTAAAATTAAAAAAGAATAGGATAAGGAGAAAAGAACGAGATCAGAAAAAGAAGGTACTTAAAGTTGGTGACATTTTGCGCAGTCTCGTAGCGAGGTTGTGTTTTACGTCATCAATTTCAGTGTTTACAATATGGCATACTATTATGTAAATTTCAGTCAACAGAAGTATGTATGTATTCGTTCGGGATCTGATGATCACTGCTGAGTGGGATTTTAATCTCGAGACGATAGATTCGTTACCCTAAGTACAAAGATTTCAGAGAGCTTGTATTTCATACCGAGAGCCTCTACCTACCTCATATTGCCTCAAAACTGCCTTTTAAATAGTATTTAATCAGCTGATATACATAAATGTCCCAACATTTATGTAAGAAAATTCACCGTGAGCTGCACTATTGTGCCTTTAATACATATTAATCCATTTTTAACATTTAATCATACTGTGGCTGTATGCATTATTCTATTTAAAAAGGTGCAGTAAGATCTGACAGAATAAAACCTAATATCTCAAATAGTGTTTTTGTGAAAACTCCATGTTTCGGTGAAAACTCCGTGTTTCTGTGAAAACTCCATGTTTCGGTGAAAACATGTGACGTTCCATTCAGTAGCAATGGTGGTGCTCATCAGTTATTATGTACTTTTGAGAGAGAGTGATGTATGTAAGGTGAAGTTGTTTGCATTTTAAACATGCACAGTGGAGAGAATGTTGGCATACCTATATACTACTTTCATGAAATGTGGATGAAATTTCTTTGGATATTATACTTTTGGAAATTTTAAATGATCTTAGGACACTGCTAACTAAAATGACTGCTCCCTTATGCTCCAAAAATCAACCTAAATTTGTCTAAAGTACACTATTCTTGGCAGCTATTAAAATATGGAAAATTAATTTTGCCAAACTAGATAATACCAGCTTCTAAAAGTGCAATGACTGAATTACCAAATACATAAAATGTAAAAAAAGTTATCGGCTCTTTTTTTTTATAATTTACCTCGTTCGAGAAGTGAAAATGAGCAAGTAGAGCTAGCACTTTTTTGACAGATGCACATCTGCAATAAGGCCAAGCTGTATACTCTCTAACCCATATTACACCCATCAATCATACATCAAAATAAAGGGAATTAAAGGTTCTTTGAACAACACCTAAGATATATAAAGTCTCTTTTAAAAAAACCAGTATAACTAGTGAGGAAACCTGGGAAAACTCTTTTTCTTTAAAATTTTAACTCTATGCTAAATACGAAACTGTAGAGCGCCACCAATATCAAGATGGCTGCCATTGTGGCCTTACATGACGTCATGTGATTGCCATTTTCATTTCACAAGGGCTAGATATTATAAAAAGTCTTGTGGTGAAAACCCAATGCTGATACGACTTTTCATCTAGCAAGAGTAGTCACATGATTTTGGTGGCCATTATATTTGGACAACCACCGAAATTCGAACTGAAGTGAAAACTCCAGCCTGATACCACTTTCTATTTTGGAGAAGTAAACAAGATTTTAAAGTTTTATGCTGTGAGCACAAAGTTAGATGCCAGATTATCACCAATTTTAAACGTTTTAATTTAAAATCAGCAGGATATAACGACTTTTATTGAAAACCCATTTTAATATGACCATCCATTCAGAATGACAAGATTTTCTAGATGGCTGCCATGGTTACCATGTTGGTGGATCTCGGATCAGCCCAATTTTAATTTCAGATGAACAGGACATAATGACGACGCGTTTTGAAAATCCCATGTTGATAGGGCCAACCATTCAAGATGGCTGCTGTGGTGGACATATTATGTCTATGAGCAACACTATTTTCATATTAAACTTTCATTTTTAATATTACTAATATTTGCATACCTTATGATTTTCGCCTCTTCTATCTATATTGTATATCGATTTAAGATAGTAAGTGGAATTTACCGTTACTAGATGCCTTATCACCAGGTGTGCACTGCAACAAAATAAAATGCTTTATAATTGTTATTTCAAAAGAAATAAAATAAAACAAACATGTATGAAATTTAATATTTTATTGACTTATTACAGTGTTCACATTAATCAACATTCTCCGTGAGAATGAAACATGGCATCAACATAAGCAACAGATCTTATCATTTTGCTGGGTCTTTGAATTCGTGGCCAGGATAACAACAAAAGCAATGAAAATAAGTTTTGTACAGTAGCAATATAATTTATGTCTTGATAATCAAACAGTGACAGACACTAAATGAAGGAAAAAGGACAATCCCATATTCTCTTCCAGTCTACGACCAACCAAACTGAAAATTAAAATGAATACAGGACCCCCTACGTATACATCCTTCCATTCCAAAAATCTCAGTGCTGGTGAAAGTAACTTTGCAAAGTCACAAAATTGATGTGGGAGAAAATGAGTTTGATATGGCATAGGGGTTACTACTGTAAGACAGTTCTTGTCTCAAAAATACAAATGGAGTTACACACATTTCTTTCATATTTACTAAATATTTTTACCTTTGACAATGAGAATACAATTCAAAATGATTTGGGACTTATAAAAACTTTTAATACATTTAAGTATATCATAGTGCGGTCAACACATAAATTACCTAACCTGTTCCACTCTGGCCATGTATATGAGCAACACTATCAGGAAAATAAACATGAAAATAGGGACTGGACATCTCTGCACCAAACATCATCATCCACAAAATAATTAAATGGCATTAAAGTGTGTATTCACTTACACGACCTTCCATTATTTAGTTACTGTAATAACATACATAGATTTAATAGACAAGACAAAAGACCTATCAACAAAACTTTCTGAAGGATTTCATCTGATCATTTAATATTCACACATTCTTTCCAAGACATACCACACCAACAGTTGTTATTGTTCTTATAGTGTTTAAAGCCATTTTTCAGCACAAGGTAGGCTATATATGGTGGACTGTATAAATGGTGGAGGAAGAATCCTGGAATGAACCACAGACCCACACAAATGTCAAAGGGAATAAGGATGATACTGCTTGTTATCCAAATCGATACTAATTTGCCATATAGTCAAGAATATCTTAAGGGTGTACAGGCATGTCACTGAATTTTTTCGAGTCAAGGAAAGCTTAAGTCATATAATTGGTCATGTGTAAGGTTCTGCAACTCACAAGAAATAAACAGTGTAATCTTAGAAAGAAATTACTTACAATAAAGAATAAAGTGCACAAGAAATAACATGTAATTTGAGACAAATTCATTCCAATAATGAAGAAAATAACTTTTTTCTCATCTAGTACATATAACAAATGTTTGAAAATATCCAGAAACAACCACAAACAACAGAAAATTTAATAAGTAGATAATTTTATTAGACATATTTTAGCACAACTTTTCTGTGCACAAAAGATTAAATCATAATTATACGACTTTTATCAGACACATTAATTATTCTATGATTATGCCTTTTCAGTGTACTTCAGTTCATTTATTTTCATACATCATTGCTTTTTTTTCTGTTTTGCAATGAACCAGTCCATATTTAAAAAAATAAATACATTGAAGAGTAAAAGCACTTGTACCTATACACTGAGAGTACAAGCCCTTCTATCCTAAACAATGAGAGTACAAGTCCTTGTATCCTATATACAAAGTACAAGCCCTTGTATCCTATACAATGAGAGTACAAGCCCTTGTATCCTATACACAGAGTACAAGCCCTTATACCTATACAGAGTACAAGCCATTGTACCTATACAGAGTACAAGCCATTGTACCTATACAGAGTACAAGCCCTTGTATCCTATACACAGAGTACAAGCCCTTGTATCCTATATAATGAGAGTACAAGCTCTTGTATCCTATACACTGAGAGTACAAGCCCTTGTACCTATACACAAAGTACAAGCCCTTGTATCCTATACAATGAGAGTACAAGCCCTTGTATCCTATACACTGAGAGTACAAGCCCTTGTACCTATACACAAAGTACAAGCCCTTGTATCCTATACAATGAGAG